AGCTCCAGGGTTGACCAGTTAATGCAGGACCCCATGTCCCCTGAAGCTGATGTACAGCTTTGGGGGGCATGAGGGACAATGGCTCCCACCTCCCTTCTGCCTTCCAAACCCATGCAAATGTATCTCATGGGCAGAGCCAAAACTGTATTCAGAATGCAGTTGTTAAGAGAGTCTGGAAATAGTCCCCCGAGTCCAACCTCTTTGATTCTGGGGAGTGTAGAGAGAGGGGGTGGGAATGGAACCAAGTGCCAGCAGATATCCATCATAGTCTACTCTCATTGGCTACTTGACAGCCATACACACCCTCTTTCATTTAAATTTTCAAATTGCAATAGCAACAACACCAAGCTTCTGCAACTACTAATACCTCTCATTCAATTGTAAATGACTCAATTTCTCACCAAGATGGGAGACCCAAAGTCCCATCAGGTATTGTACCCACTGTTAAAGTGATTACTTCTCTTCTAGTTCAATGGCAAATACACCCACATATCATGTAACCTAACTATTAAATTATAAGTTTCACCAACTTATTTGCTACGGGCCATGAAGCTATAGTTGGTATTTATAATTTCCTTCCTCCACTAGGAAATCCCTATTTCCTCTCTGTTTGGCCAGCATCTCAGATGGTGAGAGTTCTTTACTAATGAAGTAATTCAAAATCTTTATTCCCCAGGCAGCCAGTTAGCTCAGTTGGGTAGAGTGCAGTGATCATAACACCAAGGTTGCTGGTTCGATCCCCAGCACTGAATTGCACCCTCCACAACTAGATTGAAACGAATACTTGACTTGGAGCTGATAGGTCCTGGAAAAACACGCTGTTCCATAATAAAATTAAAAAAAAACAAAACACAAAAAACTTTATTCCCGAGGGTTCTCAGTGGTCTGACCTGTATCGGATTGTTCTAATCCACTAACTGTTACCACTGGGCGATTTCTAGGAGGTAGGTAGTCCTCCCTGCCACATGGTGTAGCAACAATCCAATTTCCTCTTGATTGTCAGTGTCAATCACCCCATCAGTATAGTAACTCACTTCATTGCCAAGGGCCTGGTGGGCAGTTATGGGAATCACTGTTGTATTCTTTGAGGGAGACATAGCTCCCATGGGAGCTATGACTTCTAAACTAGCAGAGCTCAAAGTTCCAAGGATGAGAAGCAACAATTTTTTGAAGTGTTTAGGTGTATGAATGAGAGAAACCACTTCTACTTCCACCTCTTGGTCCTTGGGCCAGAAAACAGTAGCACCATATACTGTTGCTAGTTGGGAGCATTTCCTATATCTCCAGGGCACTGAAAAAATGTTATCTCCCAGATGGTGCACTACCCTAGATTAGGTACATTACATTGCGGTATGGATTCAGGTAATAATACCACTTGTCACTTGACCTTCTGCTATAGGGGACTGAATTGTGTCCCCATTCCCCCACCCCAATTCATATGTTGCAGCCTAACCCTCAATGTGATGGTACTTGGAGATGGGATTTTTGGAAGAGAATTAGGTTTGATGGGGTCATGAGGGCTGGGCCCTCATAAGAGGATTAGCGCCCTTATAAGAAGGTGACAGAGAGCTTGCTTCATCTCTCCCTCCCTGCCATGTGAGGTCACAGTGAGAAAGCAACCTTTTGCAAATGAAGAAGACAGCCAGTCACTGGGGAACCGAAGTGGCTGGCACCTTGATCTTATACTTTCCAGACTCTAGAATTGTGAGAAATAAATTCCTATTGTTTAAGCCTCCCAGTCTATAGTATTTTGTTATAGCAGCCTGAGTTGACTAACATATCTTCGTAAATCCCCACCCTGACTGGTAGATTATAGGTATTTTGGATCTGCAGGGGCTATCATTAGCTCAGAGCCAATAATCACTCCAAAATGTGGTAATCTCTTTTTCCCACTTATAGTCTCCCTTGTAAATGGCTGCGATTCTCTTTGGAAGAGAGAGAAGGAAGATTGGCAGGGTTGTGTGGCAGGGTTGTGAGTGTACATCTTCCCCTTCATTCACGGGGCTCTGGGTCTGTGTACTGGATCAGGTAAAGGGAATTGGGTAAGAGGCCATGATTCTCCACTGCAGTGGCAAGTTAAGTCTCTGTTTACCAGGCCAGTTTTTCCGACTACAAAGATCAAGCAAAACTTTTGTAGGCTGCCCATATATCCTAGAGACCCCAAGACCAACTAGCCAGTATCAAATATCTCAACACATCAAATGTTTTTTATTACTGTAGCCCTATTAACCAATACAGTAACCAAGCTCACACTGACTCCAATGGCTAAGTGGCATCAAAGCCCTAATTTTTAACGATGTTATCTCCCACCCTGACTCCCTAGGTTACTGGAGTCCTACATTATGCTATTGTAGTTCTGGCATTTCAATATTATTTAATGTAGTCTTCCACCAAGTCTAGTTTTCAGTTAAAGTACTGGAGCTAATATACTGAATCCAGAATCTCTGGTAGGAACAGTTATTTCAATAAATTCACCATTAATCCAATGCTGCATCTTCCGTCCCTGGCCTAGAATCCTTAGGTCCTAATCCCACACATATTGCCCCCAAGTTTCTGTGCATATGAATGAACAAAAGCTTACATATCTTTTCATATTTTAACTGTATTTTCCCAGGGTGGATTTTCTACTTATCTCCCTGGGGCAGGATGAAATATGATTACTGTTAGTCCTAAAAGATAAAGAGGAAGGAGTAGTGGTGGGGCATGAATATATCTGGCACTCCCTACCTAGGATCAGACTACTGCAGAGTCTCCAAGCAAGGTAGAACCAGCTTTCTCAGACAGGGAGGGAGACTGCTTCTGCAGGAAGGAAGGCGCAGTGGAGTCTGTGGGCTCTAGGTATTTGGATGCATTTGAATATACCCAAATGTCTCCATTTAGATTCTCACCATTGCATCTTTTCCTATGAGTGCTTAATCTTTACCTAAGAAAGCTGATGTGACTATGAACTCAATGTACATTGGAATTCAGCAATCTGCTATGTCTGATTCTTGGCTACATCAGCCCTGTGGTTATAAGAGATGGGACAGTCTTCCAGGGCCATCACAGAAGGTCCCTGGTTCTCTGAATGTGACCTGAGATAAGAATTTTAAACTATGAGATTGTCATGTTCTTCCCTTAAGCAATTCAGTGTTGCTTAAGTATGGGTCTATTATAGCTTACATAAACTAACTCTTCCCTTATTAATGATTTTTCAGCTTTTCCAATGAATTCCTAACTCAGGCTCAGATTAAAGTAACAAGAAAATCTGTAAGGTACCAGAATTGTACGTGACTGGTATAACAATCAGTTTTCTAGACCCTGGATATGCGAGGGCAGTTAGAGTTCATCCAAGGTGTCTGGCTCCTACTGCACTGAGCCTATCACAGAATCTCAGGACCTGAGGGCAAACCAATTTCCTGGAGTGCTAGGGGCTGGGGCGATCCTTAGCCACTGGAGCCCAGACGACAAGAAGAGCCTTGTCTTAATGGCCCACATGTCTGCATGTCTTCCAGCCCTGCAGGGACTCCCCTCAAAGAGGGGTCAGCTCATTTACATAATGAAAACTGGCAGAATTTAATGTGACATCTGCACAGATGCAATCTTCCTTTAAATAAGAGGCACTAATAAATGTTTATGGTCAAGAAGCTCACTGTATTTTAACATGAAGCAGTTTGTCCGTTATATTCAATTTAAACACCCCGAAATTGAGTTTTCCAGGTGATGTGTGATGCATTTTTTTTCACACCTCACTGAGCCCATTTGCCTTCATCTTCAAGTGTTTAAAGTGCAACATGTTTTAATGGAAATTACAAATTTACCAATGTAATCTGTCAGCCTCCTTTAAATCTGCTATCATCATTTCTCTGGGCTGAAAATTCTTCTCTGCTCATGCATTACTAACCTACAATCACTCTGATGACCAGGATACAATTTAAAGGTCTTGAGGTTCTAAACTGGAATATGAAATTTATTGTGTGGCTCCAGTTCAGTGCAACTTTTTCCCAGCAAACAGAGGCCCATCAGTTCCCTTGTCCAGTTGCCCTGTCATAATTGTGACTCCAGTTGCCCTGTCATAATTGTGACTCCAAAGCTTCTTCTAACCAGGACTTCAAAGTAGCTGCTTCGAAAACTGTTGTAATTGTGGCTTGTGCAAACATTCAGCGAACAAAGCGCTCTTTCTCTATAAAGGTTAAGTGACAACCTTTTGCTTTCCTCAGAGTTGTTCCCTGAGCACAGGCTGGATGATGACAGTTCTTACCCTTGGCTCAGTACATCACTTAGAGCAAACCCCTTCTCTGAACAGCAGGACGGGCACACCAGCTAAGTACTGTGTGCAGGAGACTTAGGGGCCAACGGACTGATAAGCAAGTGATTGATAATAAGGAAGTAATTCCTTAATATTAAGCCCCAGCTTTTTCACCAGCAATGGATCAAATCTTGCCCCTACCTTAGGAGTTTGTAAGAGGCCAAGTCAGTGTGGGTAAATCAATTTGAAGTAAGCTCAAAATATTATTAGCTTATCTATTGGGTTGTCGGAAAAGTCATGACATATTTTTTCTGTTTTTCGTTGCAAAAATGTTTCATGATTTTTCCAACAACCCAATACAATACGTAAAGCTTAGGTAAGGTATTAGCCACATTCCTAAATGTCTCAAAATTCCCAGGGGAAGCACAGTTTACACATCTAGAGCAGATTGGTGAATAAAAGGTGAGCTAGGGATGATGATCTCTAAGATACAGGGCCTCCATTCAGAAATTATTAATAAAGCATCTCACTCAAGTTCTGATTCCACGCCCTTATCAATAAACTGAGGACGCCAACTGCCACCCTTCCTCAGAACAGAATAAAAGAGGAGAAAGCGCCTGGTTACCAATGAAAAGAGAAAGTACTTTATCAACTGTAAAACTCTTCGTGACAAATAAAACACTGTTATAATTCACAGGGGCAACTTCCACCCCCAAGGGCCAGGTTACAGCCCAGCCGGGCAGAGAGAAAGCTGCAACCTGGAGGTGGCTACCTGATGGTGGTGCCCTGCAGACGGTCTATCTTCTTATTGAGCTCGGCAATGATGCTGTGCAGCTCCGTGATGCGCTCCTCGTACCGCAGCGTCGTGCGCTCCTGGACGTCCTCATGCTCTCTCATGAGGTGGGACTGCTCACACTGGAATCAAGAGAACAAGACAGAAGGCCCAGTGAGGTGAGGCACCCACAGGCAGGCGTGATGCTAAATTTGATGGCCTCGAACGATCACAACCTCAACACTGAACACGCCAGAAATAAAACGTAGGCCTGCTCGCTGCCTGGCAATCACAGCTGTATCAACAGCTTAATTCTACAATGGCCCCTGAGAACATCGGAGTCCTTGCCTCCCCAGCACTCCTTCACTTTTTGGGGAAAGGTCCCTCTGTGGTGGCACACAATCTTTATGGGACTCCCCAATCCTCCTCTTTTCCCTTGGGCGAGTGGCCCAAGCTGGGCATGTCAGGTACCCTCCTTTGAGAATCTGAATCTTGAGTGCAGAGACCTTAAGGTTGCATGGAGTCAATTCACCTGGCTGAGAGTCCTGGAGAGACTGCCTGTTAGTTCCTGCTCCCTATGTCCCCAGAGCCTCTTTCCCAAGCTCCTTCATGGCTGTTCGGTTTCCCTTTTACCCATTCATTCCTTTTTTACTGAAGTCTGCTAGCGTCTGTTTCAGTAATTTTTAATCCAATAATCCTAAGTGGTATGACACCATTTCTCATCCAGTTGGTTATCTGCAGACTTCACACTTTCCAAAATCCTTTCCTACTGGACTATAAACTCCTGGAAGGCAGGGCCTAGGTGTTTTCATGACTTAGCCCTGCCACCTGGCATGTGGCCTGGCTCACTGTGGGTGACCTAGGAGTGTTATGGAGCAAACAAACTGCAAAGTATCACACTGTCGTGAAGGCTGCTTTGCAGAAACAATGACGAAAGAGGCTGAGGAACTTCCCTTGCTCAGCATTTGATGGACGAAGGCAGCAGATGCTATAAAAAACATTTTTGTTGCCAGAATTTAAATCCCAAGGAACCTGTTTACCTCTTTCATTTCTATCCCCCTCAAGTCTCCCCCAAGTCCCTGTGCATTTAATCTCATTTACATAATAATAAAACACTCATCAGTGAAGGAACAAGGAGTCTAGCTGATGTTCCTGTCTACTACATTTAGCCCTGATTAATTTCCTGTCCAGCAACGAATTTTTATTTCATTTGCAGCAACGTTTCCCTAATACCAAGAGCCCTATGCACTTGCTTGCTTTGTACTTTCAGGGCTGGTGGCAGGCAGGCAAGGTTAAGACCTCTCACCCGCCACCTCCAATGTCCTCCCCCGTCCCTACATCCGCTAGGCTCCCGTGTAACAGAAGCTCCTGGGCAGGGATAAAAAGCCTTCAAAGACAAGCAGAAAACAACACTAAGCCCAATGTCATACTGAAACAGAAGTGCTCAGCAAAGAAGATTGATAAATATGAGTATGCTATTAGAAATCATGACAAGGACCACACCTATGAAGATGACCCTCAACAGCTTCTTGATCAGAACGAATGCAGTAACATTGTGGGGGCTGCTCAGAGCTTCGGAAACAAGATCAGATGCAACAAGGCTGTTGAAAACTGTATCATAGACTTTCGTGAGGTAGCTACTTTCAGAGAAACAGTGGTAGGACTTTTGTTGTTAGTGACAACCTGAAATGTCTAAGAACCTCCACTCAAGGTCAAACACACAGGAAATAAGTGGAACCAGAAGCAAGGATTCAGGATGAGCGAAAGCCACATCTACAAAGCCGCTTTTCTAAACAGAACAAATCCATAACCAGCCACAAATACGCTTTCCATGAAGTTATGCCTTTTTCATCCATGAGCCATCACACTTTAAAAGAAACAACAGAGGCCCACAAAATGGCAGTGTCTCAGAGACAGTTTCTGTCACTACATGAAGGGGCTTCATTGTTCTCTGGAATAGACCAACAGCAGAATACCGTTCATCTCCATCTCCACAGAATGTCTATGAGCTTTTGCTATTGGTCTTTAGTCCCATCTTTAAATTGCATGTGTGTGCATGTGTGTATGTACTTTGTGTGTGTGCATGTGCGTGGTATGTACATGTGTAGATATGTAGAGTGTGTGTGTGTGCAAGTGTGTATGTGTGTATGTGTATGTGTGTGTGTGTGCTCGCGCGCGCATGTGTAGTATGCACATGTGTATATTTAGCTTGCACTCTCACCAGTTCCAGAGCTTACAATAATTGCAGGATAATGCCTGGATTTTATCTGCACCACGACTCCTGGCACACTGCCATCTCACAGGTGCCTCCTCTTCCGTCTTCCATAGTCAGTTCTGTAGGGCTACAAACTACTGTGAAATGCTTCCCCTCACAAACCAAGCTCTCACTCTCCCTTAATTCCCCACTTATTTTTCTTCCTTCACAGTCTTTCTTTTTTAAAGATTTTATTGGGGAATTGGGGAGAGGGGAACAGCGTTGGGGAATTGGGGAAGGGGAACAGACAGGTAGACAAATTACTGTTTTTGTTCTTCAGTCTAGTTGTGGAGGACATCGCTTCACTGGCCCATGTTGATATGATCGTTGTTCTCTTCCCGGGTGAGGCAGATCAGTTGCCGGTCATTGGTCGGCCGCTCATGGCGGCTCCTGGTGCTCATGCTGGCTGCAAGCCACTCACGGTAGCTCACGGCAGCCCACTGCAATGCAGCCTACGCCGCCACCGGCGACTCACAGCAGCCCAGCTCCAGGTCGAGCTGTTGTTCATCATCTTAGCTGTAGAGGGTGCAGCGTCACTGGCCCTCAATGTGGGATCTGAACCGCAGCCCTGCTTCTCAGAGCTGGCATCCCAAGCGAGCTCTTAACCAGCTGAGCCACTCGGCCGGCCCTTACTTCACAGTCTTTATAGGTCAACAGGTCATTAAGGCAGACAAGAAACTACAAACCCACTAAAAAAGGAAGAGCTGCTGGTGTTTCTACAAGACAACCACCAAGACCACTCTGCGCATTCCTGTTGACTGTTATGAGCTGCCTAAAAGGTCAGGTCCCATGGGGCTGCCCAGGTTGCAGAGAGAGCAGACGGGTGGTGGCCGGATAATGAGAGCGTGACAGCTGGTGTTGTACCATCTTCACCCCTGCCTCTAACTGGAAAGTCTGCCTGGAGGGTGCAAGAATGAACAAGAGACAACAGGAAGCCTGATGATTCAGTCAGATGGAACCGTGCTTGTAGCTAAAAGGAGAAAAAAAGACTTATAATGTATATTTGGAACTTTGGGGTTCACTTGGGAGTAGCAAGAAGAATATACTGAAGAAAAATTGTTTTTCTTAGCTATGGGCAAAGATATTCAGTTTATATTCCTATATTTTTCCAGAAGTATGCTTTTTTTTTAAATGGTAGAAAGCCTCTATAATTGAATACTTCCTCTAAAAATAATAAATATGTCTTGATTTCACATAATGTCTAAGATTCTGTGCTAGGTGCCACAGAGGGAGGTCCCTGTGACACCTACTCTGAAGGGAACTGTGACTGCAGCTTCCACATGGAGCTGGAGAATAAGAAACATGGACAGAAGTGCAGCGTGAGCGAAAGAAGAGATCGTGGGATGGTGCCCTGAGGATTCTTTTCCCAGTGAAAAAAATGCTGGAAAATAATTATCAAAACTCCTGGCCTCTAGATGAATGAATAATTGAGAAGACATCGCTCTAGGTTCATCTGTACAAGTCAACAGCCCCTTGCAGGATCTCATTAACCACATTTCCCCGTTCTGTGCTCACTCATTGTACTCAGCCAAAGATAAATTGAAGCATTGATCTCCAACTTTAGTGAAAAATCCCCTGGGCTTTTCCAAGCCATGGCGCAGGGAAAGGCGGAGCAACTCCCATGAGGGCAACAGTGCAGGAAGAAACCAGTCATCACCTGCAGGAACCAAAAGAACCCAACAAAACACTGTTGTTAGTCCTCCCGTTAAACTGCCCAAGAGCCAACCCCAGGAATGTGGCACTTCAGTGCAGGAAGAGTGGAAGATGAGTGGGTGGCACCCAGGACAGACAAAGCCACTTTGTGCATGATCGGTGCCTTCCTGACCAGGCTACGACCTCCCACACAGGCAGGACTGGCCTAGTAAAGTGAGGCCCATTCTACCACCGGTACTCTTACTGACTCAGCGCCTCTCACCATTACGAGTTTCCATGACCTCTGAGAACATTTTTAAACCTGGGAGGGTGTGTAATATTCTGTTTCATAAGGGCAGGGGTTAGGCCAAGCTCAAAACCACACCTGCATGTAAGAGCCACCTATGGCAGGTATCCCGGTAAAGTCTCATTGAAGAAGGTTATACTATGATGACAACTCTAAAGGAAAAAGAGGTATTACTTCTATGATTACTAAATATTTGCACACATTTTTCTATTTTTAAGTTAAAATTTAAGTATGTTATAGACATTTTAAAAATATGATAAAAAGACTCATTCATTTTTTTCATCATCTACTCACACATTCCTTTTACAAATGGTGTTCATTCCTATCCAGAATCTTATGTATATGGGGCTCCATGAAGATCACCATGTGGGGTGCATATCACATAAGCATCTGAACCCCTTTGGTAGCCAGGAGGGGCCTTCACCAAGGCTCTGCTTCACCGCCATCCATGCACATGGTGGGGTTATACTCCTAATTCCCCTTCCCGCTGAAGCGAGATATGGCCATGCGATTTGTATGACCAATGAAATGAGATATGATTGAATATATACCATTTTTGTCTAGAAGCCTTTAAGACCTTCTGCTACATTCCCTTCCCCAGGTCATGGCTGCTGGCAACATTCCAGATGGTAGAGGTCCATCAGCTTGGGAGGCTGGGTGAGGGCAATGCAGCACCAGGTCCCCTGCCAGCCCCAGTGAGCTCCTAGCAAGAAGCAAGAAACAAACCTTTGATACTTGAAGCCACTGAAAACTGGAGTTTACGTGTTAGCTCTGCGTATCCCAATGGTGCAACCATTTTGTAGATAAAAACAGACTAAACGTAAGTGATTGATTTATGTATTATAATCCAGGTAACAAACAGAATCCCTCTGAAAAACCCTCTGATTCCTGTTTAGGGCATCAAGGGATTGAAGTTTTGAGGTCTGCAGCCACAACCTTTCCCCGTCTCC